TGCATTCTGGCTGGAGGTGAGCACTGGGGTGGGGGAGCATGAGTGACGAATTCAAATTACAGCAACCATTTACGGTCAGCTCAGGAGCTAGGCTCTGGGGCGGGGCAGTATGTGCAAAGTGCGTTATGAGAAACACCAGTCTTGTGAGATGTTAACAGGTTTTTCCATGAAAACAAGGGAGATTTCTATCTGGAATAAGTTGAGGAATGCTGCATTCAACAGAGCTGGACGGGAGACTGGAGGTCTGCTCAGTAACCTTTCCTGCACTGGTGTCTCTTGAGACAGCCAAAGTGTGGGGAAGAGTACAGAATCCCCAGACTTCTTGACCAGGGAACCCCTTTTCCAAGGAGCAACTGAGGGAGCCGGTGATGCATGAGGCCCAGTGTGGGAACCCTGCCCTGAGCCTGGGACCCACGGCAGGAGCTCAGCAAGAAAGTGGTTGAGGGGTGGTGGGGAGCTATCAGGAGGGGTCAGAGGGTCAAATCCAAGGCCATTTTCAGAAGAGTCACACTCCTGCCTGTGCAGGCTTGAGAACAACCCCGGGAAGGGGGGCAGAATTGGGAGTGGGTTCTAGAGTCAGACAGTCACGAACGTGAATCCTGGCTCCACCATGTACTGACTGTGTGAACCAGGCAGGCCACTTCATCCCCTGGGCCTCAGTTTTCTGGTCTGGTAAAGGGAAGTAATAAAGTACCCTTACTCACCTATAATTCCAGGACTATGGCAGTGATCAAGTGAGATTCAATGTTGATCAAATGGTGAAGGGAGTGTATCTTTGCCCCAAGTACAAACCATGTCACTTATGCCTTATGACATGCTTGAATCAACTTGTTCTTTCATTCAAGTAAAATTATTCAAGCGCCAACTCCATGCCAGGAATTGTGTCCTTCACAGAGGATACAGGTGGGAACAAGACAGAAACCAGACGGTCGTGCTCCCTTCCTTCATTATGCCTCCTAATGGTGCGTGATCTCCCCAATCATTGCTATAGTCGAAAATGTTACGCGAGAGAAGCCTAGGGCAGTGGGGGTGGGGGGTATGCGGGGAAGTGCAGCAGGGGGCATTATCTAGCCTGGGAGGTCAGGGAAGGTCTGCATGGTAAAGTTTGAGCTGAATTCTAAAAGAGAGTAGGGTGAAGGAAGGCGGGTGTTGGGTGAAAAAGGGACCCGAAGAGAAACAGCACGTGCAGAGACCACGCTGGGAAAGGGATGTGGCTGGAGAAATGGGCAGGGCTGTATCTTGTTAGGCCCTGCAGAGTCCTCTCCCTGTCCAAGGGAACTTGTACTGCCTGCTTAGAGGCATGTCCTCCCTCCTCTTTTGCACACCATTTTCTTGTTTCCTTTCCCCCAACCCCACTCCCGCTCAATACCAATTTCCTGTTTGACATTCTCACCCAGTAGCATATCCTTGCCCTGCCAACACCTGTTTTTCCACACGGGCATTGGAACCCTCGTGCAAAGTAGATATTTACTTTTATTAATTACGAATGAATGTAGGGCCCCAGCTAGCCTATAGAGTGCCTTTGCTCATATGAGCAAAAGATACTCCTTTTGGGCAGATACAGCCCCACGACAGGGCCCACTTGGCTGCATAACCTTGTTCAGTGAACAACCTGGTCGACTGGCCACTGCAGCCCTGAATGAACGAACGAATGAATGAACGAATGAATAAAGACATGTGAAAGGAGACAGAGACAGAGTCCGAGGCAGAGACAGGAATGGGAGTGGGAATGGAAGCCAGGAGAAGTTGAGTCCTGTCCATTTTGGAGCAGTGTGCAGGTGACTCAGAGACTCTGGCTACTGGTTCCAGAAGGTCATCTCCTGTTTCTCAGAAGCCAGAGTGTTTGGCTGCTCTTGCCTATAAAAACTCTCGTAGCCTCTCCTTATCTAAGGAGCCTTGTGCTCCTTGAGTTTTCCTTTGCTAAAGAGTGTGCTGAGCCCTAGGAGTTACGAGTACATAGGATGCAATTATAGGCGCCTCTCCGGCTCGGCAAAGCCCAGAAGGCCCTGCCTCTGCTCCCTTTCGAAGCCAAATGAGGAGATAGCTAGGCCCTAAACAAAGCAACTTGAGAACATTTACTAAAGATATCAAGGGCTGCAAACTAAAACAGAGCTGGCCAGATCCCTTAGTGGGGAGAGAGGATGCAGAATAAATAGGTGGATGACCAATTCTCAGGGTGGGTAGAGTTGCTCTGGAAGACTTTCTAGACGGGCCACATTTTCCTGCTCTCTGAGTCAGCCCAGCTCCTTCCCGTCTGCAGCCAGCTTTACCATCATTTTCCCCAACCTCTTTTCGGAAGCAAGACTTATAGCTTGGGTTTCGTCTTGACCAAATTTCTACAAAGGGTTACTTGTTCCCCTTTTCCCTTTGCTCATGAGCAAATCATCCAAGAAGCCAAAGTTCTGGGACTTAAAGGGCCCGAGGTAGGGAACAGACACTGAGGCAGCTCACAAAATGCGATTTGTCACGGGCGCTGACCTCCACGAGCGGGCAAGGCCTTGGAAAAGCCGTGCTACCAGAGCTGGCCACCCGCCAGCTCTGAAGTTAGTGGAGTTTTGTAGCCTTCCTCATCAGATAGGGAGCACTCGGGCACAAGGCTGTAGGCCTTCGTTCAGACTGGAGATTCTTGGGGTGGGGGTTGCACTTAGCCTTCAGATTGGGAGCAACATGCTGGGTACAGAGGCTGTTCTTCTAGCACACTAGAGTCCCCTTGCCCCCCACCACCCAAGGGCAGAGTTGTGTCTCCCTCTTGAGATATGAAGCTCAACCAGAAACAGTAATAAGAGAAAGAACTACCACTTACTTAGTGATTGTGATATGCCTGAAACTCTTCTTTCTAAAAATAATATTTTAGTTCATGTAAATTTTTAAAATTTGTCTTTAGAGGGTAAGGGAAGGGGAGAGGGAGAGAAACATCAATGTGTGGTTGCCTGTCATGCGTCCCCTGCTGGGAACTGGCCTGCAACCCAGGCATGTGCCCTGACTGGGTACTGGACTGCAATCCTCTGGTTTGAAGGCCCAGGCTCAATCCACTGAGCTACGCCAGCCAGGGCCATTTAAATTTATTTTTATTTTTATTTTATTTTTTTAAAGATTTTAAAATTTATCTTTAGAGAGGAAGGGAAGGAGAGAAGGAGAGAAATATCGATGTGTGGTTGCCTCTAATGAGTCCCCTGCTGGGAATTGGCCTGCAACCAAGGCATGTGCCCTGACTGGGAATTGAACTTCGATTGTGTGGTTAGCAGGCCCGTGCTCAGTCCACTGAGCTACACCAGCCAGGGCTATTTTTATTTTTAGTCGTTTAGTTTTTACTGTAGTTTTTCCATTACCACTTATTCCCCTTATACCTTCTTCTACCTCCACCCCCCCCAAAAAAAAGACATTAATTCATTTTAATCCTCATACTGACACTGTGAGGGACATCTTAGCATGATTCTCCTTTTCTAGATGGTGAGACTAGATGCATCGAGAAGTTGAATAATTTGGAGAAGGGGCATCTACCTGTGGTGGGGGTCAGGGTGCCAGCGTTCACGCCCCAGAGTGCGTGGGAGATGGCAGGTCGCTATCACGGGGAACACGCCTTCCGGAGCCAGGCCTGGTGCCACCCAATTAACCAGGCATTTCCTTCTGTCCACAGCTCACCTCGCTCCTGGCGGGCAACCCAGCCATGAGTCTCTGGAACCTAGCAACTCTCGAGGAAACAATGGAAACTTCAGTTTTCACTCTCCTCCCTCTATCATTACTCAAAAGGTTTTCCTCTAAGCCACACACACAGACACACACACACACACACACATACACACACACACACAGGTTTTCTCTCCACCCATCAGCCTAGGCTGCCCTGGAAATTTTCGGCAGAGAGGAGTCCTGAGTGTGGGTGGTGGGAAGGCCTGGTGGCATGGCCGCGTGTGCTGTCCGTGGGCCTGTGTCAGATGTGGGTCATCAGGGACTGTGATTTACTGCCCAAGCATCTGTGACTGGGGCTTAGCAGGTCCACCTGGGCCTGGGCCTGGGCCTGGATGTGTGAGTCGGTGTGCCCCTGGCACTGGGGCTGTGATTTATGAGAATCAGAGTTGGTCTGTGAGTGATTTATGTGGAAAGTGGCATGTGTCGGGGGCAGTTCAGTATTGAACCTACTGTAAGTCACTGTGGTCAGTATGTGAGAAAATGTAACAAATGCCAATGTGCACATGAAAAAATTGTTGGCCTGTGTGTGAACTGTGAGCACCGGTGAAGAATTTGCATGTGAAAATATGTTCTTATGCTTCGTGTCTTGGGATTCACATATGTGACTCTGTGTAAAAAATGTGAATGTGAATGTGAACAGCTAAGTGTGTAAGATGTGTCTGCTGTGACACCTGCAAAAGTGAAAGTTTTGACGAGATAGTGTTTTTTTGAGTCTGTGAAGACTATTAGTGAAAGTTGAGTGCAAGAGCGTGAAAATGTGCTGAGTGTTCACTGGTAACCCATGAAAGAGTATGTGCAAGTTGTGAGTGTGAAAGTGTCATGTGAGCCAAATGTGGCATGAGTGCGTGCGCACGTGCTCAGGTGCATGTGTGAAAGGTGCGTGTCCTGGCATTCCGGAGGGTCCTGGAGGGTTGCCCGTGGAGTGTGCTCCGTTTGTGGAGTGTGAAGGGGTGTGAAGTGGTTTCAGGGGTCTAGTAGACGATGGGGGCGTGTAGGAGCGGCGTGCGCACGGTGGCAGGGCCCCGGCCCCCGTCCTACTCCATATTCCAGGCCGGGTTTGGTGGGGAGCCGGCCTGGGCCACGGCCGGCGCGGAGGGGGCTGGGGGCCCAGACAAAGGCCCAGTTGGCTGGTGTGCGGATTCGGGACTGCGGCGCCCGCGGTACGGGGGCGGGGCCCAGCGCCCCGGGCCGGGCGGTCCAGGGGCGGGGCCTGGCCCGGGGGCGGGGCTGACGGGGGCGGGGCAGAGCGGGGCGGGGCTGGCGACGGGCGGGGTGGGGGTGGCGGGAGCGGGCTGCGCCGTCCGGAGGACTCCTCAGGCAGGCGAGCGGGTGGCTGCGGGCGGGCAGGCGGGCGCCGAGCTTGCGAGTGATCGGAGCGGGCCAGGCCATGGGGCGGCGGGCAGCGGGCACGCTGCTGCTGACGGTGCTGCTGCACTGGCAGCTGCTCTTGGTAAGTGTGCGGGGCGGTGGGACCGGGGGAGCTCCGGCCCTACTCGCCACGCCCGCCAACTTGGCTGGGGCGCCGAAGCTGCGCGGTTGGGACTCTGGTTCGGAACGGCGGCGCTGGTCAGGGACCCCAGGGTCGACACAGGCCAGCGCCACCCTCCGTCATGGGGCTGTCCTGAGGGGGCACCCAAGGGAATCCTGCGTGGGGCCGGGGGCGGGGCCGGCCCGCGTGGGAGCCCGTGGGTCTCCCGGCCACGTTGCCGAGTTTCCGAGTCGCACTAGGCATGGCTCGGCCTGCCATTCTTGACCAGGTTGAGAAACTTTTGAGCAGGGTGCGAACTTGGCTGGGCGAGGGAGGGCACCCCTTTCTGTGCCAACTTAGAAAAGGGGCAGTCAGTGGTGATGGAGACCCCATCAGCCCTCACTGGAACTTGACCAGCGTTTCTCCCCCTGGGGAGCTAGTAACCAGGCACAAGTAAAGGGCCGTTCAGGACACAACTGAGAGTTGTGTGAACACTGCCAGCCCCGGATTCCTACAGCCCAGGACTCTTGAATCAATCCCTGCTCTTCACTGAGTAGTGTGTGACCTGGGGCAAGCTAGTTAAATTCTCTGAGACCAGCCCACATGCCTAAATGGAACTTAAAATGCGTGGCTTCCAAGTGCATAGCCAAAGGGTGGTTGATAGGACTGGATGGAATGCTCAGGAAAGTGCCTGGTGCTAGGCCTGTTATGTGGTGGATATTCCGTGGATCTGCTTCCTCAGCTTTCCTCTCCCCAGGTCTTCAAGGTGCAGGGGAGGCTTGCCCCTACAGCCTGGCCCCCTGCTTTGAGCTTGGATGGGCCCCTGCAGAGGAAAAGAATACTTGGCCAGGAGAGGCGCTGAGGACCTGAGTGAACCCCAGGAGGGTGGGGTGGGGTCAATGGGCAGGGAGCTGATGGCAGATGTGGGTGGGGGCACATCTGGGGAGCTGGGCCTGCTGTGGGGAACCACAGAACCATCTCCACCCTTTTTGAGGTGGTCTGAAGCAGTCCCTGCTCCTGCCTCCATATTCTCAGAGCCAAGAGAGGGATTTTTCTAAGCCAGCCAGTGTTTACTCAGTGACAGACTCCCTGTCCTTGCCTTGCCAGCTCCTTCTCACCTCTGTCCTCCTGAGTCACTTGCTAACCCCCAGCCCAGACCTGACCCCTTAATGCCCCACCCATCAATACCTCCCCTACTTGTCCCCCACCCCTCAATCTGGGCAGCTTCATTAACCCTTTTTCTCAGCCTCTTACCCCAACACATACAGCAGGGACCATCCAGTTGCTCTCCAGTCTTGATCTGAACTTGCATCTCCCTACCCACTGCTGTTCACACCAACGTAGCACATGGGCTGCCTGTCTTTTCTGACCCTCCCCCAGCTTTGCCCACTGATGAGGGGCTCTTGGATGCCTGGGTTCTACAGTGGCAGGAGTGGGGGGCAGACGGAGCTGTTTGCGGTGTGCAGGAGGAATTTGCACAGAAATTCCCGGATGGCAGCCAGTCAGTCATCTCATTCATGTGTTCATTCAACACATCTTCATTGAGCAGCATCCGGTGACAGTCAGCAGGAGTTCAGGGTTCATTCACTCTCGTTGGGCAGATATTTGCTAAGCACCTACTGTGCACCAGTGCACCCAGGGCTGCGGTTTATGGGTGAGCCTGATCAGGCCCTGTCTGTGCTTTCCCAGAACTGAGATCCGCAAATAGGCAGCTCCCATCCTGTGAGATTATAGAGCCTTCTCAGCAACCACATCAAGGCCTTCACTGTCCCACACCACGTTAATGGTGGAGGCCTGGAAAGAGCTTGGCCTCTGGAGGCTCACAGACCCAAGTTTGAATCCCAGCTCTGCCATTTTTCAGCTCTGTGATCTGGGGCAAGTTCCCCTCTCTCAGCCTCAGTTTTCAAATCTATCAAATGGGGTTACATTTTAAATGACAGTCAGGTTCCTAGCCAGTGCCCCAACAAGCCCTGGACTCCTTGCCTGCTGCTCGTTCTCTCGTCTGCCCTTCAGTTCACATCCATGAGCCAGTAGCTAGTGGGTGAGGGTAGGATTCAAGACGAGGATAAGATGGTCCCCAGGGAGTTCAAGACCTCCGTAGGGGCAGGAGACAGAGGAAATAGTGGTCTGTGATTAAGCGTGGGGGTTATTTCAGTGGAGGTGGGGGGAGGCTTGCTGGGGCAGGGGGCCAGCCTGGGTGACTCAGGGACTACCTTGGCTTTCTGACCCCTTTTCTTCCTGCTGGGGCCTTAGCCCTTCCTTTCTTGGGGCCCGCCCTGCCAAGAAGGCAGGAATCTTGAGGAGGCCACGGTGATTACAGTGTTTTCCAGAGCCGAGGGGGGAAGTCACCGAGATACCTGTTTCCTGCCTCAGCTGGGCTTCCTCACTGAGGAGGCTGTGGGCTGGCCGGAAATGGAGGAGCCTCTCCTTCCCTCAGCCCTCTGCGTGACATAACGCAACCCCCGCTACCTTCTTGTTTCAGACCTGCTGCTGGGGTGGGGGTGGGGATGTGCCCTGGAGATTTCCATAGAGAAGGCTGCAGGTCAGTCCACAGTGGGAGGGGGAAGCCGGAAGGAACAGAGGTGGACCCCTTCCCCCTAAGCACTAGGCCAAGCTCCCTGTGTGTGGGGAGTCTTGGCCCCGCCAGGCTTAGCCTGGGCCTGTTCTCAGGCTGAGTACAGGCAAGTCGGGATCTGTGGGTCCGATACCCAGCCCGGGAGATGGGTGGGAGGAAGGTGGCAGAAGTTGACTAGGTTCGAGGCTCGGAGTGGTAGGGAGGGAGGTCTTGGGGCGCCAGGCCAGATGATGACCTGTAATGTGGATAGTGCACATTAATCAAGTGCCCCCTATCTGCTGGGCACCAACTTTCTCAGCAGACCCTCATATATCCTGCCTGCTCACAGTCTCTCCGCACTCTCCACACTGCTCACAGTCAGACCCAAGCCCCTGACTTAATGTGGCCCCTCCACCTCTCAAATTTCTCCTCCTTGCCCACATTCCCCTCATTCGTTCAGTCCAGGTCCGGTATTCTTTGTTTCTCAGACATACTAAACACACGCCTACCTTGTAGCCTTTGCATCTACTGTTCCTTCTGCTTGGAACGCTTGTCCTGCAAAGTTCTGCGTGACGCTCCGCCTTACTTCCTTCAGGTCCCCAGCTACTCTGCCGCTCTGCCTGACATTCATTCCCTTACTTTTTTCTTGTCACCATCCAACGTGTGTTTGGGTACTTGTTTCTCAGCCTCCTCCCCATTTAAGCCTCAGGAGAGCAAGACCTGTGTTTTTGTTCACTGCTCCTTGATACTTAGCCCCGGCTGGTAGTAAGCACTCAGTAAATATAGCTGTTAAATGCCCAAACCTATGGCTGCCAGTGCTGTCTGCTTTCTCCAAGCAGAGGGGATGGAGACATGGAAGGTTACTGGCTCAGGGACTCCTGCACGCGCCCAGCTGTACCACGAGCCAGGCTTTGAAACCAGATGAAGCGCACGCTCCTCACTGCTCTACCTGCTTTCCCGCTGGCTTGCAGCAGGCAAGCAGTAGATGTTGATGAAACTGTTGTCACTCAGGTTGATGAAAGGAAGAGCTCAGGTCCTAGGTAGTGCAGGGCTGCCTCAGGCAAGAGTAGCGGGTCTGGCTTGGGATGAGTGCGGGTCTGGCTTGGGATGAGTGCGCTGAGTCCTCAGGGCCTGCCTGGGCGGGAACCTAGAAAGACTACACCCTAGAGGCAGTCATTTGTGGGATTAAATGTTCCTTTGTAGGCTTGTTAACTATTTAATTTCCTCATTAAGTATTCCCTGAGACCCTGTAGACAGTTGAATTAATCCAGGGTTTTTAACGGGGAGTGGGCCAGGCCAGGCCCTACCCTGCCCTACCCTGTGTGCAAAGTGAGGGGGGAAATGGCTAGCTGCCCTGCGTGGAGCCCTCACTGGGCTCCCCTGGGGGCCCAAGGCTAGGGTGAGTGTGCAGAGGCTTCAGGGCTGTCTGGCTTTGGGGCATGAGTCTCAGAAGGGGGAGGTTGGGAGGGGCTGCCCAAAATGTGGAAAGATCTGGAATGATGATTCAGCGGCCACTTGGAAGTCAGACATTTGGGTTCTGGACCCTCAGACCATTTAGGGCACAAGGGAAGGACTCCCAGCCCTGGCCCGTTGCCCTCCTCCTCGGCCCATCCCAGCTGTGAGGAGTCAGGCTGGAGGAGGCAGGGACGAATGTGACCCCTCACCCCAGTAGCTTCCCGAAGACCCCGTGAGCCTGTTACACCCTCCTCCTAGGGCCCACGCTGACCTTCCCCCATCTTGCTTCTGCCAAGAAGGGGGAGGTTGGGATCAGCGTCCTGGTCCTGCTGGAATGCTGCCCCAACCTGGGCCTTAGCCTCTTTGGCCCTGCTGCCCCTTCCTGCTACCAGGGCCTGGCTGGGGCTTGCTGGCTATCCTAACGTCCAGAGCTGGCTGACTGAAACCCAGAAGAATGTGTGGAACTTGCTTTGCAGGGAGCCGCCAGCCTCACTGCCCAGCCTGGTGGCGTCGGCCATGTCAATAGCTGCCTTGAGAGGGGAGTGGCCCATGGCTGCTGGGGGTGGCCGGGCCAGGGGCACCATCATGAAAGCCCTGGGAACAAGGCTGCTCTTTGAGGCCAGGGAATGTGGGGACTTCGAGTCTCAGCCACCTCCAAAACCCACCCTCCCTCCTTTCCCTGGTGCCTGTGCATGCCAGGGTTGCAGGGACCTCAGAGCGTCACCAGGGGCAACTCTGGGATCCCTGAGACATCCTTAGGACCAGCTTCCAGCTCTCCACCCAAGCCCTTTCCCTGAGGCATGAGGCCGGTGCTGTTTCTCTGGCGCTCTGGATTTTAGGGGGCGCCTGGAACACAAAGGCTCACAGTGTGCCCTGAATGAATGAATGGGCCTACGATGTATGTGCCCGAATAGTCTTACAAACTGAAGTCCCCTACAAGTGTGTGGTAGACTTAAAATTCTTTCAATAAATA